TTAAACTTTTACACGTTTTGAATCAAAGACCAAGACAAAATGGCACATACTTGAGAAGGAGTTTTCAATAATTTTTTTTTTTTACAAATAAAAAGTAAAAATTTTGTGTCATGGGTATGCATGTTTTCTGCTTTTACTTTTATTAACCCTGAATAAAATCCATCACACCCGGTTGGCATCAGCCGCTACATAGTTGGTCACAAAATTAACCTGTTTTCAATTTTGATTTCTGAATAAATAAACACACCAACACCACTGCGATACATGATGGTGGCAACATTATGCTGTGGGCATGTTCATGTTGAGCATGGTTAGGAAAACTGGTTAAAGTTAATCAGCTAAGCAAACGGCCTGATCTCCTCTAAAACTGTTCAGATCGAAACACGTTTATGTATTGGAATGGTCCAGTCAAAGTCCAAGCTGAGGATTTACAGCAAGACTTGAAAATTGCCATTCCCTGACCTGATCCATGCGATCTGTCTGAATTTGAGCTATTTTGCACACAAGAGTGGATTAACAGATGTGAAAACCTGCAACTGATCCGTGTTAAAGGCACTTTCACTGCAGAATGAACACAAATGCCCACCACACGTTCTAGACTTCTGTTTCTAAAATATATCGAAAACCTTTTACGCTCCACGATTACGCATTACCTTGTGTTGATTGATCGCATACATTTCAAATAAACTGCACATTGAAGTTTTACTGTCATAAAACATGAAAAGGTCCAAGGAGCTTTAAAACTTTTGCAAGGTACTGTGCCTGCACCATCAAACCCGTAACTGAAATGTCTGTTTTTGGATACTTTGATTGGTTGTAGGTCTCTTAAAAACCCACTGAGTTTGGCCTCTCAACAAGCCTCAGCTGGAGCCAGTAATGGTTACAGTGTTTCTCTTGGCAGGGACGGTCTTCATCTCTTCGTGCTACAGATTATAGAAACATATAATTAACTAAGGTAATATGAGAATTCAAATAAAAGTATGCTTTTAAAAGCATGCCCGTTCAGACTGCTGATTGCCATGCAGAGTTTATGTCCACGTCTGTCATGCGTGCAATCTGCACATTATGATCAATGAAAAACGTTATATGCTTGTAGAGAAATATTTCGAGCACATGCCAGCTGGCATAACACCAGATTTATGAAAATAATTGTACCTTTTGTTTCTCGATGTTTCCTGGCTCGAGCACAGCAGTTACTTCAAACCCTACAGTCAATCAGGTGTATCCATTCTGAGAGGAACCAGAAAAAAAGAAAGAAAATAATCTGGGGAAGGAGTGGCGTAGCAGGAAATTAGTGTAAAAAACAAGAGCTCTGCAAATCCTGGTTTCCTGTTTTGGGGGAAGGCAGGAGCTCGTTTGGGCCCTGCGTTACAGAGACCCCATTGTGAGCAAGTGTGTTGTTGAGTAGGGAGGTGGGCTCCACAGGGCCAAACGCAGGGGCAATTTTTGCTCAGTTCTGAATCCCCTAACCCACCTGCCCCTCCCGATGAGGGAAAGCTAGCTAGTAAAAAAAGCAGAAAAAGGAAACTGTAAAAATAAACGAGCGAGGGCCTCAGCGAGAGACGGCAACCAGACAGGAAATGACACGCGGCATAGGAATGGTCTTCAGTGATCTCTGTCAGCAGCCAAGGTGCAAGTTAATACCAGGTACTTATTAGAAACAAACTGGTCTGAAATCAAGAGAAAGGTATGTTTAAAGTAAAGATCTGATCTCCTAATTGTTATTTCTTTTTCTTGAATAATCATCAGCAGGAAACTCTTGATTCCGCTCCTTGTTTAATACTTAATCTTTATTTAACCAGGTGAGACGTCTGAGAACTGGTCCATTCACAGCGTGGACCTCGGCAGCCTGGCGATAATGAGCGGCCACTGCTTAGTTCCAGTGCTTTTTCCCGGCTCCCTCCTGGCCCAAAGGCTCAAACAATGTCCGCTCTCCAGGCCCTGCTGCTGGCCTTCTGATAATAGAGCACTCCACGTCTCCATTAAAACCCTCCCGCTGCCGTACAAGCACACGGCTCCTCTGTGGGGCTGCATGGGGCCCAGGTGCTCATCCCCTGCACACCCGCAGAGTGGCGACTCTTCAGAACAGCCGGAGGAACAGCTCCATTGATCAGGGGGAGTTTATGAGGAATGAAGAGAGACAAAAAAAGGACATTTTTAATTGCAGACTCAGATGTCAGACAATTGTTCCTTTTTTGGTGGGGAGGGAGCTCGAGTCTGTCACAGTAAAGTGATACAGACTACATTTGGAGAATTGGATAGTACATTGCACTTTGGAGTCCATAATCTAATCCGCTCACGGTCATAATTCAACAACAGCAATGAAAAATGTTGCTTCTGAGGAGCACAGTAGAAGAAAAAAAAATAAAGCTACATTTATTTCTAGGATCTTAACAAATATTTATTCACTTTCAGCAATAACAAGGCTTTACAGTAACTCTTCTCTCTGCGTTTGTCCTCTCGCGCGATGACAACTGTTGTCATCGGTGTCAAGGCCGCTGAGCTTTGAAGCTGTTGTCAGGGAGAGCGAAAACCAACTCTGGAGGGAGTAGACACAAGTCATCGCCTCTGTTTGAGGTGAAACCTGGAGCTAAAGTTATTGCAGGTTTAAAATAAGGCTGGAAACAAATCAGAAGTGTACAGTTGAGTGTTAAGGCTCAGTCGCTGAGGCTCTTGGGTGGACTGAGATGGTGACACATGAGCCTCACGTCCTGCTGGCTCGGTGGGAGCTCCTCCACATTCCCCAGCTTGGTGATAAGAGAGTGCAATGAATCAGAGATGGTTAGCTATTGTTACCCAGTAGATCCATGCACAATCGATTTTTCACCCATTTATTCAGACAGGAAATACATATCTGGGATGTGTTTATATGTCTTCACCCGCATCCTAGGGAGAGATACACCAACCAGAGCTTTCCTGAGCTTTACTTTGGTAAAGCTTTCTCTTGCCAATACAAATTTTAGCAGGTTTCTCCTAAAGACCTATAATTAAGAGCTCTTAAAACATTTTCCGTCTAGCCTGGCCAGTTAATAACGAGCGACATTAGCAGCAATGACTCATCGAAGAGCTGTCACTATGGAGTTGTTTCACTAACATTTTAAGACAAGGCCAGAGTTATTCAATATCTGACATTTTAATCTGGCTTTACAATCTGATGTTAGCAAGTAGAGCTAGCATTACCAAAATGGCACTCCCTGTATAAGAGTGTACCTTAATTCTGTGATTTTTAAAAAGTCTGCCATCCTTTCCACATATAGTCAGTCTGTAAATAATCAAACAGAGCACCACTGCTCCACTCAGTTAAGTCTTTCTGTTATTTACTGAAAGTCTTGCTCTCTCTCACTTTCTCACAGCCTGAAGAAACTCATGCAGACATGACACGTTTTATGTTGGAAGCCATTTTGAACACCTCACTGATGCTAAAAGTCAATAACTTTAAGCTGAATTCTCACAGTAAGCATGTTGTAGATGCTGCAGCCAGACGGCATTTGGTATGATGCATTTGTTGAGTGAGTAAAAGTTTGGACGCTGTGGTTTCTGACTAGTCACAGGTCAGCTCCCAATAAAGCAGAAAATTGACTGATTCTACTCATTAGTTCATTTCTTAATGCATCACCACTAGATTGTGTTAAATGGTTCACTTTCAGAAACTTGCTGTGTGACTAGATAGGCAGCTGGTAACATCGTGTTGCTTTGTACATCTCTGGTTTCTACAGATCTGCGATAACCCGATTGCGTGTTTTATATGCTGTTTTGTTGTGGCCTGTTAGATGCCGAAGCCAAGTTTGAGCTTCTACGCACAACAATGACCGTGCAGAAGGACTCGTGATTAAAAAAAGACTTCTCTCAACATAACAAAACCAGACTGGTTTACATCTGCATTGTGCGTACTTGTTTAAGTGATGATGGGATCATTTGAGCATTGTCTTTCAACCTCCAATATTCTGATGTTTCATTGCGGTGCAGCGCAATCTATCGCTCCCTCACTCCATGTTGTACAAGCTGTCCAAGTTTCCTCAGATGGGCAGGGATGAAAGGAAAACCCGTGCTGTGATCTTGTAAACCCAAGATTTGAATTCTCCTCGGAAAGCAGAAATATCTTTTGACAAATGAAGAAAGAGACCTCAGGCTAAAACTAGCAGCTCAGTTGGATACACAGGTCTACGTCAGTAAATCCACGATTTACAGCAAAACATGCTCACTTTGCTGTGTGGTCTTGTTAGGCCACACTATTTTTAGCAAAACCTTCATCTTTGTCTTTTGACTTTTGTGCACTAAAGTGTAGAATGACAAATTTGTTGCAAGGATAAAACTTCTAAATTTAAACCAGTTTGAAAACAAAAACTATTTTTCAAAAATAACATTTTGGATTCGTGATGATGTGGACTTAAGCATTTTAACGCCATCCAAAAACATACATGTTAGATGAAGGACTAAGAAAGTGTACAAACTTGATGGATGAAATTTTGATATATTCATCCTAAATTATCATTTAAAATAAACTAATTCTCTTTCCCCTTTTGCTCTGCACAGAGTCCCACATTTTCTCATTAGTTAGAACATTCACCAAAAATCTACATAAAACAAATAATCAAGTGGCATTACACAAATACAAAATAGGCTGATGAAATAATCCCCTTATAACCAAATGAAAGCAAATTAACTCATGCTAACTACAGTTTCAGTACGGCAGCAGCAGTAGTGCAAACGGGGTTTATTAAAAGAACATGAACATTTTAATTGTTCATCTTGTTGAAAGCAAAATATCAATCTCCTCGCTAAATCTGAGCTGGTTTTCGACATACACAGTCATAGTTGTAGCATCCTTATCACCAAATGGGAAACTTGGATTGAAGTGCATGGAGGCCAGCATTACCACAGCAAACGCTTACATTTTTATATCTGTGAAAGGGACAGACAGAGAGAAAGTGAGAGAGAGACAGAGAGAGAGAAAGAGAGAGAAACACCTCAGGGAGAGGAAATGGTGAGCAATGCCTCACCTTTCAACGCCACGCTAATGAGGCCAGCGACACACAAACAGGAAGCTGGAGCTTTGTTCTCCTGCTGTCCAGGTCAACAAATCCAACTGACACACTGCAAAAAAAAAAAAGTATATTCAGAGTAAGACGATTAGCACATAAACTGTAACAGATCCATAAACACTTGAAAGTATTTATATTTATCTTTACCATGTTTTTGTAAATTATTGGATGCATGTGTGCCAGCCTTTATGAAAATAATGATTTCCTCACATCCTGTCTGAGACGGTGCTTGGCTGTGCTCTATCCAACACAATGCCTTGGTTTGAGTCCAGAAAGCTTCTGCCCCATCATTAGAACCTCTCTTCTGTCTGTAATCATATGAGCAAGGGCTTAGAAAGATCTTGGACCAGGACAAAACCAATAATCTGTTGAGCGGAGCCCCACCACACCGCATGTTGTAGTTTTTTTTTTTTTTTTTGCTGGAAGCCATTTTCTAAAACAATTTCCCTTACCCTAGTTTGCCCAAAAAAGCTCATCTCCTGGAAAATGGACTGAGCAGCGGTTAGGAGATGCCTGAGGGTTTGAACTGCATGAGGCGGCGCGGTCAAGAACAGCAATCACAGATAATCATTGTTAAAAAAGCGTCCCAAAAGTCCCATGAGGACTTCCATACTACTGAGCCATTGTGGTTAAAAAAAGAAAAAGACAAAACAGCAACATTACAGATCTTTTTTTTTTGTTTTGTTTTTTGTAAAAAATAACTCCTGTATCAGCTCCAGAAGAAACTCTCATGTCCTGTGGATACATATCCATCCCCATAATTCAGCTCTGCTGCTTCCACTGAGTCATTAAAGTCTTTGGCTCCAAGCATAGGCAGGTTGGTTGGTAACATCTGTCTGAGTAGACTGACAAATAGTTCGGAAAGTGAAACGAGAGAAGGGTGTAGATAACAGCAGTAGATAACATGAAATGAAACATCCAGAAGGAGATAAAGATATCTATATCATTAAGCCTGCTGTGATAAAAACACTTTTAAAAGGGAAATGTAAAAATCCTGCTGTGTAATATTAACATAATATTTCCCTAAAAGACAGATATTATAATTTTTCTTTCTTTTTCAGTTGTTTCCACTATGGTCAATGCAGAGCACAGTGGAAATCAGAAATGATTGTAATAATTCATACAGCAAACATTTATATGTGTTTACAGTTGTGTTCAAAATAACAGCAACATGTTTAAAAAGGCTAACAATAGCTTTTACTCCCAAACACATGAATGATTTGCAAACGTTGCACTGGCTGCTCCAAATCAAAACATGAAGAAGAAAAAATCAATTTCTTCAATCAATCTATTTATTACGGAGCCCCCCAGAGGACATGGGGAATTTTTTTTCTTTTGCGTTCCCTCTCAAAACTTTTGCGTTCCCTCTCAATACTTTTGCGTTCCCTCGCAAT